GATGCTATGATTCTATTTCAGATGGGGAAAACTGAGGCACAGGTCAGCTAAATGAAAAAAAGCCTCCATGCAGATCACTGATATAGTGTTGTGTCATGATGATCTTTGTCACGCTGATGTGTTGATACACTCCAGATCTGAGTGGTGGGGGTGGGAGAAGGGAAGACACCAGAGAGATTTATGCAATTTTTGTGAGATTAATGTTTTGGAAACTGTGTTAGTACTGAGTGAGGAAAGGCTAATGCCCGCCTTTGTTCAATGTCAGAGAAATCCACATGGAGGTGGAATGAAGGAAACAAGAGTCATCATCTTTGCTAAGTGCAATGACTTGGTAGCAATGAGACCTCCACAAAACATACTGGTGTTATTTGGGGGAGTGGTGTGGGGAAGAGCTAGAAGAGTATGAGGGCTTAAGGAGAAAAATGAGGGTTGTCAAATCAGATCCACGCTGTGGTAAACCCTTGCTCTGTTATTTTGTGTGTCGTCTTTTTCTGCACCTGTGGGTGGCTGAGTGCTCTGGGGATATATCCAGGCAGGAAGATGTGCTATGAATTAGTAGCAACCCTGCCCTTGAGTAAGTGAGTGCATTCTACTGACTTCTTGTTTGTGTTAGTTACAGGACTCTCATCAGGCCCACGTACAAAATGTCCTACCGAACTGTGACCACGCTGGAGTGGAGGTGCTGTCCTGGCTTCACGGGGAGCAACTGTGAAGAGGGTAAGTTATCCAGCAATGCATCTGTCCTTACAGAGCAGCAAGGGGATGTGTGGATGGACTGGCTGGGTTGAGTTGGGTTTTGTTCCTTAATTTGCTCTACGCCTCTGAAACACAGGAACAAATCACCTATTCTCTTCACTCCCTATCATTATCTGAATGCTCACACACAAGCTCTGAAAGGTGGTCTCGGAAAACAGACCATACTGAATGCCTGCAAAGAAGCCTGAATAGGGATGGGGAAAGAAATGAAGAAATGGGTACTCAGGGATGACCTGTTTATAGATGTGCTCATGCTTGGCGTCCCCATTGCACAGTCCTTCAGAAAATGCACTTTCTCCATGTCAGTGTGTTATCTTCTCCACATCCCATTGTCATCACCATCCGTTGCTGTAGCTGATGAAAGCTGGTCCCTGGATGGCTGCTTGTAAGAGTTATGCCTGTAAGGTCTGAACACAAATAATATGTGTTCCCAGAGAGCTTTGAATTAAATTAGGCACCTTTGGTTCCCATTCCCACCTGTTCCCTGACTTATTGGTGCAACATTCAGGTTGCACAGTGCATGTAAAAACACAGTTCTGGGTTTGGTATGTGATCTTTCACACAGAGGAAAACACAGGGCTCTTTCCAGAGCTGGAAGAAAGGAAAGTCTTGTCGCTTTTTCATCATGATGGACAAAAAAGGGCATGTTTTGCATTTTCCTTCCTAATGTTTTCTGCTTTAACTGTTGCTTCTGTGGCTTTGAATCAAGTCCTGCTTCTCCATCGAGTTTCAGGTTTAGGCACCAAGGCATCTGCTGAATCTGTCATGAGTGTTCATGGCTTATGAATGTGAGAGAAACTAAGCCTTGAGTTTTCTGTTCATTTGCATCAGGTCAACACAGCCTGCCTCTGCTGGCTGGTGAAGGGTCATTGGGGGTGTCCAACATCTCTAAGACTCTGCTGTTTGTAGCTGCACCTCATTTTCTTTGTGCTGCAATATCTTGGTGCTAATCACACAATTTGGGCAAATCTCTAACTAGGAAGTTGTCCTGTTACAGTCACGAAGAACGATGGTTGCAGACAGCAGCTCGCTTCAGGCTGCTGAGGAAACAATAGCTTCCCAGAAGCTCAAGAAAAATTTAAAAAGTGACAAAGCTACCCTAAATTGCAGTCTGCAAGAGAGAGCTTTACATTTTAGCATGCTGCTAAAAGAAGTGAGCCTGGGAAAGAGAAGCTGCTGTGTGCAGCTTGGATTTTTACCTGTCACTGCAGGGGAAAGGGATGCTAAGGATTGTGGCAGAACTGTTATTTCTAAAGTAGCTGCAGCTTAGCCTGGCTGAGGATCTGACTGGGGACCTGAGAAGCCTGTGTATGCAGCCCATTTGTGCCTGTAGGTTTGGACAGGTGTGAGTAATTACAGCTTAGCGGTGCTGCTGGTGTAAAGGAGAGAATCCAGCTCCCTCCCGCAGTGCCAGATCTGTCTCAGCAGAGTTCAGTGGAAATAAAAAGCCAACATAAGCTTGTTTGAGAAAGTCAGCAGCGATCTCACAGGAGCAGGTCTGTGGAACGAGGTGACAATTTTATGCAGTCAGTTTTCAAGGTGGAACTGTTCTTTTGGGCTTGGATACGGTCTGCGGAGTGTGAGCAGAAAGCCAGTAGCAAGCCCTCACTTTCATGTGTGAGATTCTTTTTACCTTCTTTTTTTTTTCTCCCCTCCTTAAAACATCTGGCACTACCAACAGTCCCATGTTCTTGAAAGAGGGAGGAAAATGAAAACAAAAAAAAAGCCCCCTTTCTAGTACAGCAGGGTTGTGCCACTTAATTTCTAGCAGCAGTATTGATACTAGCAGTGTGCTAGCTGTCAAGCTGTCCAGAGGCATCAATTTTAAAATTGAAGTATTTACTTGCTCCTTATGTTAATTCTTAATGTTAGTGTCACTTGGAATTGTAAGTAAAAGAGGCTGAAAGAAGTTTTTTAGGGCTTTTTGGCAACCTGGTATAAAGCCTTTTGTACTCTTTCCTTTCTGTACTCTTTCCTACTACAAATTCAGTTCCTCTGAGAGGGTAGGATGCTTACATCTGTGTGGGTCCTTCCTGGAAACAGCAGACAAAAGAAAACAGAAAACTAAACTGAAACAAAACAAAAAACCAGTGCAGTTATGAAGCCACAGCAAATTAGCAGGGTAGAACCTCAAAATGCTTTCATCTTTTTTTTGGTATTAGTTAGATTTCTTGTCAATATTTCATTTTATTTGTATGTGCAGCTGGTGCTTTTGATGTTGATGTGAGGTAGGTATGATTGAAGGCAGATTGGACCTGCACTATTTTTAACTTGCCTTCTTGCTGCGTTGCAAATGCTCTGATTCTCTGACAGTCACTATTGTTCCCCATGTGTGTTGTGGTTTAATCCCAGCTGGCAACTAAGCCCCACCCAGCCCCCAGCCGCTCGCTCACTCCCTCCCGGTGGGATGGGGGAGAGACTCGGAAGAGTAAAAGTGAGAAAACTCATGGGCTGAGATAAAGACAGTTTAATAGGTAAAGCAAAAGCTGCACATGCAAGCAAAGTAAAACAAGGAATCCATTCACTACTTCCCATCGGCAGGCAGGTGTTCAGCCATCTCCAGGAACGCAGGGCTCCATCATGCGTAACGGTTACTTGGGAAGACAAACGCCATCGCTCTGAATGTCCCCCCTTCCTTCTTCTTCCCCCAGCTTTATGTGCTGAGCATGACTTTATATGGTGTGGAGTATCCCTTTGGTCAGTTGGGGTCAGCTGTCCTGGCTGTGTCCCCTCCCAACTTCTTGTGCACCCCCAGCCTCATCGCTGGCAGGGTGGTGTGAGAAGCAAAAAACACCTTGGCTCTGTGTAAGCACTGCTCAGCAATAACGAAAACATCCCTGTATTATCAACACTGCTTTCAGCACAAATCCCAACACAGAGCCATACTAGGTACTATGAAGAAAATTAACCCTATCCCAGCCAAAATCAGCACAATGTGTCAGCAGAATGGCAACTGCAATGGCTCTGAGCTTCCACTTCAAGATGTCTCCTGTTTCCAGAGACTGAAGTAAAAAGTTTCAATGGGCCCTGGAATAATAAGGTTGCATTTTCATGAGCAGAACAGACTAAGCCAAGAGATAATGGATTGATCAAGCACACGGAGCAGTTTTGGGAGTTGTGTGTGCATGGGCATGGCTGCGGGGTCCCTTCTTCAGACTGATGGTGTTTTTTGCATCTTGAGACTTGAGAGATCCTATCTATTGATTCCTTCTTTAATCCTCAGTGAGCAGGATTGATACTTGCTCCTTTTTTGTGCTGTTCTGGAACAGTGTCTTTGGGGGAGCCACTGTAGCCTATCTGGAGGATGGATTATTTTTACTAGCTGTCCTTGTATGAGGCCTTCCTTGCCCTTTTTTAATTTTTTTTTTTTAGCATTTTATGAGGAAAGATAGGATGGTGGGAGGGTGAACCAAGGAAACCAAGTCAAAGAACTTGAAATCATTCAAAGGCTGCAGTGCAGCTATTTCCGACATGCATACTTTCTTGTTATCTCCCAAATGGCAGGTCAAATTTTCTTTTGCAAAGCGAACAGTCCAGCGTGGATGTCTAGCCCCAAAGTATGACAGACTCCTGATGAGACCGGCTTGCTGTAACACACCTTCAATGAGAAACTCCCCGTCCACAGTAACATACTGTGCTCTGACAGAGCAAGCTGTTAAATGCAATTCTATTATTACAGAGTGTCTTGACCCTTAGCTAATAAGTCTATCTTGAGAAAGTAACCACTTGACTGTCACCAGCTGGCAGGCACCTACATTAATGCTGAAGGCTGCACATTGTTTAGATTTAAATTATCTTGGGAATTTAACTCTTGCATTGTAGCTGATGAAGAGCAGCATCGTCTGGAGGAAGCCCAGCTCTAGAAGTGGGTGGAGATTTTGCTGCTCAGTGGGCTATTAATTTATTGAGGTGGGGATGGCTGCTTCCAATCTGTTTCCTTTTATAAGTCAACACTGATTGGGGCTCTCCCTGCTTCCCTTCATTGCTTTCCCCTCACCCAAAGGTATGTCAACATTTGAAAGATCTCTAATTCCTTTATTGTTTTTGTAGAACTGAGACCAGCTAGTTTAGTAGATAGTTAAAAATCACCAGTTGTACCAGGGCTTCCTGAAGAGTTTCTTGCAACTTTCTTGGATAGAGAAAGAGACTTGATGCAAACAAGTCTGGTGAATTTAACTGTCAGTAGATGCTAATTTTTATTTTCCAGTTTCAGGGTTTTTTGTTTTATTTAAACTGGAGCCCAAGCCTAGGACAGGAAATGAATCCACTGAGCCACCCAGTCTGCTGACTGCTGATATAAAGAACATATGGACGAGGGCAGTGCAGAGGTGAAGTGGTTTAGCTATTGCAATCATGCATCAAGCTGATTGATTTGAATCCAAGATGATGCTGACATTTCAACTCAGCCTTTTTTCTATACGGCTGAAAGTTCAAAGGCAAGTGCAATCTCTTGGGAGAGGAAAAGTGTCCCTAGCAAGTTCAGGGGCTCAGCACTGCCCTAGAGCTCTCCAGCTAGGCAAGGTCTTATTTCACTTTAAAAATCTAACATAGATTTCTTTTTTGTTTGTTTGTATTGCTTGAATTTGGGACAGTAGCCAGTATCCTATCTACCCCAGAAGCAGATTGATGGTAGACAGCTTAGCTGTTTGGGCAAGAAGCAGCTCCAAGAGTAACCTCGGCACCTCTAAAGCGATGCCATTGTGATTCCAAGCGTACATTTTTTTTTTTTTTTTTTTTCTTTCCATAAGAGTACAAGTCGGATAGGAAATTTGAGCAGCCTTGTTCAAGTAATAGTTTAATTTGAGAACTTCCCCCCACCCCCCCGCTATTTCAGTTCTTGGAATATTTTTATCTACTTTTAATAACTATTGTTTGCATCATGTCATCCTGATATTTTTCAGATCTCTTAGATTCCCACGTGTTTACAATTTTCAAAGCAGTATAAGAAAATGAGGACTTTC